GGTGGTGGGTGGGGGATGGGGAATGCATTTACTGCTGTGACCGCTGGAATGCATGTACAGGTGCGCGGCCGTGACGGCTATGTAATATAGCGGTAGTGCGCACATACGGTAAGCAAAGGATCCGAGGGTACTGGACTCATTGGGTACACGCGTGCATGGAGCAACAGCAACGCAATTCACCGTCCCCAGGGGTTCCGGAGCCCTCCTTCGAGCAGCAGCAACAGCACGCGTCCAATTGCTCGAGAGATGGTGGGTGGTAGTTTTGTACGGCCATAGTATCGTATCGTACAAATGCAAAGTGCAAAGTGCAACACAACAACGCCGCGCCCCAACGTGCACCTCACACCTGCAGCAGCAGGGCGGTCCTCCAGCCAAAATACACAGAAGCTCCCACACAGGGGTACCTGACCGCAAAGTTCCTGGCCGCACATGTCAACATGTCGGCGGCGGCAGGGGGCCCCAGCAGTAGCGGCCGCCGGCCGTCATCAGGCGCCCTTGCGAGCACCGCGTGAGCATGGAAACTCAGCATGCCGATGATATTGGTTGTGATTACTAAGGCATTACGGCACCGTTCGTACATGTGATTCGGATCATGTGTCGCAAAAGCGATGGTCAAAAGGGCTGGAACAGTGTGCCCGAAATAGATAAAATAGTCAAAGGTGCGAAGCCTGACCCATGGGTCAATAGCGGCCCCAGTGCGCAGGACGTACAGCAGCTGCATGACAGAGCTGGAGTTACAGGGAAAGCCGGCCAGCACCGTATCTGCGTGGCTGCTGCTGCTGCTGCTGGTGCTGCTGGTGCTGGCGGCGGTGGCAGTGGGGTCGAGTTGCGCCATCATCAGCTCCTCCTGTTGCAGCGCCGCGTGCGGTCCGCCGGCGGCGGTGCCTACCGGATTGGCTGCACAGCGCAGGTTGAAGATGGACTGTGCAACGAACGATGTGGTTAGAATTAGCAGCTCCAATAGCAGCAGCAAAGCATCGGTTTTGCGGGCTCGACGCGCGCTCCAGCGACCGAAGCTGAGCGGTCTGCGGCCGCTGCCAGCACTGCAAGCGCCGCAACGACCTGGGACTTCTCCTTCACACGTATCGACAGTAGTAGTCGCAGCATGGGTGCTGTTATTATTAGCCATCAGCGCAGCATGTGAGTTTAATAGATCTTGAGGTTTGAAACGAACTATATTGCCGGCACGTGCTAACCTTTAGTTCTGCTGAGCCGGGCGCGATAAGGGCTAGCAGTAAATACCTTTACAAATCTTACAATGTATCAAAACACGTGAAAAGAATGTCGTCTTCGTCTGCCGCGGGTACTAGCATCAGAGCAACCATGATGGCCAACACGTGAAAAAATATTGATGTCATGTCATACTAGGGTAATCCCTAGAGTAATACATAACTTAAGTCGGGTAATTGCCGAAGTCGGCCGGGTCATAACATTACAGCGTAATGATAATATTGGACCCAGAGGGCCGCACCAGAGGATGTTTCCGGTTCATATTAATATCGGTAATTGGTGATCGATGCCACGTTCACAAGCAACGGATCGCCCGGGGCCCGGAGGAATCCCCCGCCGCCGCCGCCGCCGCCAGCAGCAGCAGCTGTCCACATGCGGTGCCGGCCGGCTTCCCAGGCGAAACGCCACACGCCTGCTGCCCCCATGCGGTCAAGAACTTACCCGGCGGCCCTGCAACCTTGTAGTACACACCCGCTCGCTCGCAGGCATGAGCTGCAATGGGACCCCCCCAAGCACTACTGTGCATTCGGGCTGCTTCCGGAACCACATCACACTTTGAATGATGGCCCTGCACACACAAGATTCGAGCAGCATGCCTTCACTGTTACCTCACTACAGGGGAAATGCGGTTTGCTTAGACTGATGACCTTGGCCGTCAAATCAAAATGCCGTAAGCGCGTCGCCCCTCGGCCCGTGGGTCATATTCTGCCTTTCTAGCACTGTTTGAGGCATTAAATAGCCAGGGTAAAAATCGGCAGTGTTGAGGCATTTTTAGACGGACCCTTCTGTTAGTAACAAAATAGCACAGTCGACTTCCACGCCATCTTGGTCGCTTTCCTAGCACGCTATTATTTATTAATCTACAGGTTAAGTGAGTTGTCGGTCGGGCCGGCGTCGCGCATCGGAGGTCCGTTTGGTGCGCGACCGAGACGTTTCACGGTCGGGGCGGAAAGTCCTAGCAGGCTTCAACCAGCTTGGACCTCGACCTCTCCTTTGCATATCGCAACTAAAACGCGTTATTGTGCCGCCAGTTGCCAGCGTAAATGGGTGAAGACAGCGTATTGTGAGTTTGTGACGCCTAGCGTAGCTAGCGCCACTTCAACGTCTTTTGTCCCCATCCATCACCCGCCGCAGGTGGCCCACCCGCCCAGGACCTCCTCATCCTCCGCCAGACTCTTCCATTCCTTCCCTCCTCCTTCTCCACAATCCAACATGTACTCCCCGCCACTACATGACCTCAACGCCCACAACAACAGCTACGACTCCGGGCCCTCAACCTCCACATCCCACCCCCGCGCCCCACCTGTCATCGCCCACCGTAGCAGCCCGCACCCCACCAGCACCCCAGCCGGCCCTCTCACTCTTCCTCTCCCTCCTCCTTCCGCACTCCACCTTCCTCCCTGGCCGACTGCTGCTAGCAGCAGCGCCAGCGGCGCCATCGCCAGCAGCAGAGGCAGTAGCGCCAGCGGTGGCGTAGACCCCCTCACCCTGCGCTTCCAGGATCCCGCCACGGAGGCGTCCTTCCTCAGCCAACAAGCCCGCCGTCTAGCCACCGTGGACCTCGCGGCCTTCTGGATCAGCTTCACTCTGCTGCTGCTCAGCCTGCTCCTGAGGGGCAGCCAGCCACCATGCCACCCCGTCCTCGCCCTCTCCGCCGCCGCCTTCCTGGCCCATGCATTCGCCATGCTAGCCATGCACGCACCGCCCCCGCACCAACAACACGACGCGCAACAACAACGCGACCCGCGTCCACTGCTACCACAACAGGCAACCCCACACCCCTACCCCATGCGGCGAGTCCTCTACATCTCCCTCGTACGGCTAGCCTACGCCACCGCCTACGCCGGCTTCAACACGCAGTGCCGGCGAGAGGAGCTGGCGGGCTGCAGTCCGGGACCCAGCTTTGGGCGCTTCTTCGGCAGCGACACCGGGCTGGCGGTACTGCTGTTCCAGGCGGTTGCGTTCCCGCTGCCGTACCGGGTGCACATGGGCGTGTCGGCGGCGAGTGTGGGGTTGTTTGTGGCGCTGCACAGCCGGGAGTGGTGTCGCGAGCTGAGCGGCATGGCGTGCTATGCAGCGTGGTGGGTGGGACAGCGGGTGGGTTGGTAAGGGGAGTGGCGGGACAGCGGGGGAACGGAATGGGTTGCCAGTTGATGCCAGTTGCAATAAATGCAGGGTGCATGACGCGCAAGTATCCGCCGTATTTACCGGTATATACGGCATACACCGGCTGTTCCCCTTCCCACATGTGCACTCTTGCCGACTACCATTTGTGACCCATTGTTAACCCCGACCCCCTTGCGGGGACTTGCCGCCCCTCCCCCCTCCTCCAGCCGCCAGCTTATGGAGCTTTATCACGGTTTGTACTTTGTGTGCTGCTACTCACCCAACGAATTTGACTATGTGCAATCCTAAAATCCAGCTTAATGCGGAATCTTCATCCATATTACCCCCCTCCCTGCACCCATCCCCCAGGTTCGAGGCCGCGCTTCACCGCCATCACCGCCTAGCCCAGGGCCTGCTCTCCGCCCTGCGCCCCTTCCTGTCTCGCCCGCTGCCCCGCTTCGGTGGCGTGCAGGCTTGCTGGGGCAGCATGCTGTTCGCGCAGGGGGTGGCTGGCTGGCTGCTGCCCGGCTGCGTGACATACCTGGCGGAGGAGGCGGCGCGCAGGAGGTACCTGGCGACACTGGCGGGCTGGCGGCGCCGGCAGCAGCAGCAGCAGCAGCAAGTGGGGGCCAGTGCTGGGTATTACCGGTATTAGGACTCAGTCGCCGTGGATGCATGGAGATACACGCAAGCGGTTGCGTCGTGACAGCAGTGGTTGGGGGGTACACCGCGACACCGGGTGCTTGTTGGATGCCGGCGATTGATGGCGGGTGTGCTTGTGTGTGCGGCAGCTGCTGAGGATAGAGGCGTGTGTTCAGAAAACTGGAACGTACTGTGATTGCCGAAAGATGAGGTCCCCACTGAAACGTGAAGGGCGTGTGTTAAAAAAAGAAGGCGCGTGTGTGTGCGTGTGTGCCGACAATCCCCAGGTGAGGATGGGTGGGGGTGGGGCACACGGTAGGGCCTCGGCGGAGGCGGCCAATGCGTGGATGAGGGAGTGAGAGGGGGTGCCGATGTCACGGGTCCCTCAATTCGTCAACGCCTCCTACCGTTCCGCCTTCCCGCCAGGGTCTGGGAGAGGTCGGCCCAAGGTCAACCGCGAGCAGCATGGACCATCGTCCGCGGCTCCACGCGTTTTACCATTTACGCAACATTACATTGGAGTAGGAGTCATACTTTTAACGTCCGGATCAAGTCCAGATCTGGTCGATGCGGGTCGGCTCCGGAAAGACTATCCGACTAATCGCAAGGAATTGAATGAATGGTAACACGAGCATACCGGTATTTTAAGGGCTTGCTAAAAACAGTTATGTCTCTGGGGTCGTCCTGGTCAGCAGTAGTAAGCAATGCTGTCGCCACGTCACGTCACTGGGCTTCGAATAACCTGTTGATAACCAGAAGCGTCTTGGGTTGACCTATTGGTTACGACATACAGCACCGCAAGGAGCGCGTAACCTGTGTAAAGACGCAGCTGGGAGGGCTGCCGCATGCAGGGGCACCGACCTTGGCGCGGTATCGAGAAGGATTTGTAAGAACATGCAAAGGCTTTTACCTGATGTGCGAATGTCCTGACGTGGGTGCCGGCAATCCTGAGTTGGCGTCTGATGCTCCCGGTGTTGCGTGTACGGAAGAGGATGTTGGACGGGACTGCAGTCAGCGATCATGGCAACTTGTAACTGCATTAGCATTGTCCTGAGGCAGTGTACAGTTTGGTTCCTGCGTAAGCCCGAGACTAAATATTAATCCACTTAAGCAGAAGGGACTCGCCTATCGAGACGACAAGAAGTCCTTGGCAGCCGCGCTATTTACATTTAGATCACTAACTGAGATGGGCTTATCCGAAGCCATTACCGCGGCTGCGGAGGCCCTTTCGCGGCAACCTCTGAGCTCTATCATACCGAAACAGCAGAATATAGTGGTAAGCAGCCCTTTCACCTTGGCCACTTGCTGGTTGTAATGGCTTGAGTTCCTGTCCTCTATTTGAGCAGTAACGGGCTGGGACCCCAACCCACATTTGCCAACCGCTCCCCATGCTTTTCCATGGCAACTGTTACAGTGGATTGCACCCCTTGCTATGTCGCATTCTTACCAATTATGCTACCATTGGTGTTATATGCATTTCCGAGCATACATCCTTGCCTGCCAGTGTTTCCCGCCCCATCGCTTTCCCTGCTAACAGAAGCACTTCTTTCTTGCACCCTCCCATTTTCCATGCAATCAGTGCTTGGAGCATAACAGCAGCGTCAGTCAGGCGCTGCAGTTGCTGGCCCGGCGTCACATCCTGTCGGCTCCATTGGTCGTCATGCCTGGCCTAGAGGACATGGAGAGCGGGAGCGGGGAGCCGCCCAACTCCGCTCCGCAGCTCATCGGTTGGGTGACAGTGGAGTCACTTCTCCGCGCTTTCCTTGCACGTAAGTGTATATACGTGCGAGTATACCGGTACAACAAAACATAGTGAAAGCACACCCAAGCAAGTCATCAGCGCTGTCTGCTGCCTCTACCAGGCTCTACCAGTAAGTTCCCTTTGTTTGCACGTAACTCACCCACCGGCCTGCGTCCCGCCCGCCCCTGCTACCCAGCCGTACACCCCCGCCCCCTAACCCCTCACCTCTTCCGCCCCCTCCTCAGACATGGGGGAGAAGTACGGCAAGCCGCTGCCCCGCAAGCTGCTGCTGCTGATGACAATGCTGGAGAAGGAGGGGCCGGCGTTCGCGGAGAAACTGCTCATCACCCTGACAGGTGGGGAGGGAGGCAGGTGGGGGGTCAAGGGGCGGGGGAGAAAGGAAAAGAGAGCTGCGCACCCTGACCCGCTCGTCGACCAACGCCTTCTCCTCATTCCTCATCAACCGTTTCGCCCCATGGGCCGCTCCCACAAACACACACCTGCTCGCCCCTTCTCTCCCACGTCGCTCCCGACCCATCCCACCCGCCCCTTTCATACTCCCTCCGAAACCCGCCCCCAGGCAGTGAGGACCGCGGCCTGCTGTTCCAGGTGCATGCTGACGTGTCGCTCATGACCGCCCTCAGGTGCGCACTCCCTCCACCTCCACCCCCCGCATTCCCTGCTGGTGGTTCCGGTGGGCAGGCAGACCGCTCCGTATGGGTGGAGGTGTCTGGCTGCGCCTCAGCTGGCTTAACGCACACCTTGGCAGGTGTCGGTGTGTGCTAAGAAAGCTGTCACCGCGATGTCATGTGTGTTAAGAAAACTGGCCGCGAGCATAGGAACGTACTGGATAGTCGTACTGCATGTCATGTACCGGTATGTGTGTCTGCCGTACGCACATGTGTCGTGCACCGCCGTACGCAGGGAGTCGTTCGTGCCCCCCGGCAAGCCCGCCGCGCACCGGCTGGCCGTGTTCGACGCGAGCGGCGCCATCACGTCCGTGGTGTCGCAGCTGGACGTGATAAGGTGGGGGGTGGGAAGTGGGGGGTGGGAAGTGGGGGGTGGGAGGGATGAGCCGCAGGGAAGGGGCCATGGAAAAGGACAAGGCAGCAGGAATGTGGAGAGGCTCTAGCATGGAGCCGCTTCGGCTGTCTTTATTCCGAGCCGCTAACCTAACTCCGCGTGTGTCTCCCGGGGCTGCCTGCCCTGCCCTGCCCTGCCCCCCACCCACCCAGGTTGGGATTCGTTGTTTCACTTATATAATTTTCCCCCCCACCCAGGTTCCTCCGCGACCACCCCCAGCTGCTTGGAGAGCTGGGATCTGCAACCGTGGGGCAGCTCGGCTGGGCACACCCCCCTGCTGCCACCACCGCCTCCGCCGCGTCCCCTGGCGCCTCCGCCGCACCCAGCACACCAGCGACGGCTGCAGGCGCGGCAAGTTCCCCCGCCGCCAAACCTGACACGGCGGCAGCAAGCGCGCCCAGTCCGACCCATGGGTCATCAGCAACCCGTGGGTCACTGGTGACGGTTGAGGCGAGCCTACCGGTGCTGCTAGCGTACGAGCGGATGGTGCGGGCGGGGGTGAGTGGGGCGCCGGTGGTTGCGGATTCGGAGGCGGCGATTGTGGGAAGCGGCGGCGGTGCGGCTGCGATGACGTCGTCACCCTCATCGGGAGCGGCAGGAGGCGGCGGCGGAGGAAGTGTGGGCGGCATGATAGCCAACCTGTCAATGAGTGACCTACGGTGAGAGGGACGGTGGAGGGTTTGAGGTTGCGATGGGGGTTTGCTTCTCACCGCTTCTCGCCATGTTGACTGGCTGTGTGCTGCTTTTGCCGTGCGGCCATGAAGCATGAATTAAAAAGCTCTCACTCTCCTCGCTTTGTAGTCTTAACAATTTTAACAGGACGACCCTCTCACCGGCGCACAACACTAACCCTCTCGCACCCCTCGCACCCCCCCACCCTTCACATTCCACAGCAACATCCAGTCTCAGCACTTTGGCATTCTGGCGCTTCCCGTGGGGGAGTTCCTAGCCCTGCTGCACAACACCTCCTATCTGGGCTACTCGCAGCGCACCTCCACTCAGGCCACGCATCCCTTCTTCGCCTCCGGGCCGCCGTCCGTCATGCCGCCGCCGCATTCGCCGCGGCTCGGTCGTCGGCACGGCGGGCTACACTCGCATTCGCTGTCGCCGCATCGCGCGCCTTCCGCGTCGTCGGCGTCAGTGTCGTCACTGGGAGGCGCAATGGAGACGGGCGAGGCGACGGCGAGTGAGAGCGAGGGACGAGGTGGTGCGTCGGCTTCGGGGATGGACCTGGAGCGGGATGATGACGTGGAGTTGGAGATCCGAATGATCACATGCACCGCGAATACGACCTTCCTGCAGGTGAGTGCGGGAAGGGGGGTGGCTCGGGCGGGCCCGTTAGCGAGCGCTATAAGTCCAGTCCTCGACGAAGAGCCGCTACCGGTAGCGGCTAACTGATAGCGGTATGTGGAGTGTCTTCAGTGTCTCATCGATTGTGGAGTAATAACGCATGATGCTCGTTTGCTGGCAGGCCTATAGCACGAATACTAGAGATCCTGTTTCGAGTTTCCCTTCCCGCGTGTAACCCTCGCGTTGCGTGTAACCCCCGCAGCTCCTGTCGCTGCTGTCCGACAACAAGGTACACCGAGTGTACGTCGTGGAGGCGGCGGGGCGGGCGGGCGGCGGACAGCACGGGGTGGCTCGCCCCATCGGTGTCATCACGCCCACGGACATCCTCCGACTGCTGGCGGCGCCCGCCACCGCAGACAAGGAGTAGACAAGGACCCGGAGACGCCCTGGATGGGCAGGCGGATTTGTGGGACGGCAGGGCGTAGAGGGTGAAATGTGTTCGTTTGTTTGCTGCGTGTTGGATTTGAGGTGCAGGTTGGGATGCCGTCGCTGCTCTGAGAGGGGAGGCTGGAGGCACGCATGAACGAATGCGGTACCGCTAGTTGCATTGCAGGGGTTGAGATGGGGGTTATGCCACGGGATGAGGCGAGGCGGCAGGGGTTGAACCTGTGTGGCATGGTTGTAGCTGCCGCGTCTATTCCCAAACGGCAGTTGCTGTAACTGACGCATAAGACATGCAGTGTATCCTGCGCTTTGTAGCAAACGCACGATGTCGTCTTTTGTAGATAGGCTGCTTGTCTTTGCGGGTGCACATTTGTTTGGAAGACAGCGGCTACAGGCGCATTTCACGAGCTGCAAAAGCTGTTGTTGTTGCCCCTCAAAAACCCAAGGCCAAAGCACCAGTACGCTGCCAGTTAGAATCCCGGCTTGCGTACGGCTGTTTCCAGCCTGTTCCGACCAAATACCGGTACAAGTTGCTAGCGACGTCTCTGAGCTCTGTGTCCCGGATTGAGTGTTAACATATCAAGTGGTCAGCCAACTTGTACGGCAGGAGCAGCATAACTTGTACGCAATTTTTACATTCGCGTTTGGTTCCAAGCACGGCGCCGCTTCCGTGCTTTGCTGGCCAACCAACCCTTGGACGACACAGAGCTTTAGCCACCCTGCAATGCCAGTAGCACCTTCCGAGTGCACACGGGATGCGTGCTAAGGGTACTGTAGTCGTAGCACATTGGCGTGCGTGTCTACGCATATGAGAGGTAAAGGTAGGACATTACAAGCTGACTGGAGATGTTACTGACTTAATTCCTCCCGGCAACACCTGCCTTGACAGGAGATGGCTCAAGAGGCACTCTATCTAGGCACTACTGCAGTCTTTGCGGACGACGCCAAGCTGTACACCTAATGCGTACGTAGTCATACCTTTGCATATAAGAAAAGCACAGTGAATTTCTAAGGATACACAAATTAGGCTTATTAGCTTTAGCTGTATTTGTTAAAGGCAATGAGGCGTTACCTTAAGAGGCATTGCTATATCGACTCGATACTGTTTATTATAAATTTTATATATTTTGTTTTGTAACAATGAACGCCTTTGGTACCCGATGCAACTGCAGCGAGAAGACACGTCGAAGCCATGGCACACGCCGAGCACCAGCACAGAAAGCAATACTCAGTAGACAATATTGTAAGTAAATAGGTGCCGACAATTTAACTTTATTTCCAGCCGCTCCGCGATTCGGACGCCATGGTCGCGTTGGCAAATCAATCTAACTGACACGACCTCCTTACAAGAGCAAATTGGGTCCGTCGCTTTTAAGTTCGAGTCAGGCCACACATGGGCGCCCCACACGGGAATCTCCAGGAATAACGTAAAGGTCCGCGGAGTGAAAAGTCCCGTCGAGGGCGGGGCCGCACCTCGACGTGAACGTGCCACCCGATTAAAAAGATGGGGTCGGGGCGGGGACCTAAGTTGTTCACGGGCTGCGTGCCGGAAGGGGATGGCCTAGCGATCATGCCCTAGTTTGAAAGACCCCGGATCGCTTTCGCTGTCGAGACAGATTGAATGTGCGAAATTTATGCTAATAGCCTAACGGCAGGGCTTTAGCGTTTGCTCGCCATGGTGCATGTCGGAGTCGACGTAACGGCCTAGGTACGAGAGGCAGGTACTGATGAGAAGCTGCCTTTTGCATGTATCTTCGACAATACTTGCTATACTTATAGTTGCCTGGAGGCCCAGGACGTCCGCAGCGCTCCCTCTCAGCCAGGTGCGCTTACAGTAATAACGCTGCGGCCGCTGATGATGATGGTATGCTGTGTCTGCTCTGAGTTAGCCAAGACGCGTAGGCAAGGGTCCTCGGGTCGCAGCAATGGACACACTATGCTTATTGGCACACGTATACTTGCGATTAATGAGAAGTTACTTCGGCCGCCTTAGCACGAATGAACATTGAGCAGGCATTCGGAAGGTCAACATAGCTTTTTGTATATCACACCGTAACCATTTGCTAGGATAACCGTAAGGCCATGCCCTTCGCTGCTTGCAGGCCGCACACTGTGCTGCCGACACCGCACCACTGAGTGAGTATCACTTGCGGAAGACCCTTGGGAGGTGCTGCTTTTGACCCTAACCCCACGAACTGTTCCTTGTAGGTCAACATGGCTTCCGACGGCAAATGCAACGGAATAATAGCGAATGGACCAAATAAGGGCAAACCATGTCAAAATCCTGCCATCCTTGGCTGCGAGAATGGCCCGTTGCTGTATTGTGGGGTGCACAAAAACAGCCTGCCCCCGCAACAGCCGGTGCCTCAGCCCCCGCAACAGCCGGCGCCTCAGCCCCCGCAACAGCCGGCGCCTCAGCCCCCGCAACAGCCGGCGCCTCAGCCCCCACCAGTGCCTCAGCCCCCACCAGTGCCTCAGCCCCCACCAGTGCCTCAGGCCGCACCAGTGCCTCAGGCCGCACCAGTGCCTCAGGCCGCACCAGTACCTGAACGATCCTGTTGCCATTTTTTTTGCCAGTGCTTTGGAATGAGGTGCAGCTGTTGCGAGTAGAGGAGCATCCGGGTCTCTTGGGTTTGTGACGAATCCGGATATAAGCTTCCAAATGGTTGTGCCAGGGGCGCATGGTGTTGGGCTCCCGTCGGGTTTGAGCCGTAGTGTACTTTAACTAGAGCGTTAACTGTAGATGAGAATGGGCTTTGTGAGTATAGGCTTTGTGAGCATAAGAGGGGTAAGAAATAAAAAGGTGTAACTAAAACTGGCCACAATGCAACCGACCTCGCAGTCATCCTCCCAAGACCCTTGACTCCATTTCCTAGGGCAGAAGATGTCTTCCTCCACTACCATAATGGTCAGGCAGTGCCACCAACCTTTACAGTGCTAAAGCAATGGAAGTAGCCCCATTCTAAGCAGCCCCCTCCGGCCCAAACGGAGTAGGGTTCGCGCCCCTTGCAGCCCAACGGAGTCATTATGAGGCCACATGCGTATACCGTATTGCCCAACATCTAATTGACATTTTGAAGCCTATTTTCCAGCCCCGACTGACAAGACGGAAAGAATATCTGCCCCATTTGACCTGCTGTTGGCGGGTTTCTATCCAAAAGTCCCCAAAGCTGACGTTTAGGCATGGCCTTCTGAGTATCCTGGGCCCCCGGCACTTACGCCCCCACTTGACACCTTGCCCAGCCTTGCCAGCAAATTTAAAGCCCCAATTGACACGACCAAATAAACGCTCAGCCACACTTGACAAAACGCAACATCTTTATACTTCTGTCATTTATAGGGACAATACGGTACCGGTCAGCCGTTTGTGGTTGGTTTTGCTGTTACAACGTCTGACTCATGGACAGAGCAACCGCTACCATGGCCCCTCTGTCGTAGCATAAAACTGCCGAATCAACCCGAAACACGCACAGCCTGTTTTGTTAAAATCCGCAGAGCGCAAAAAGGGGGGCAGCATGCAACAACTGACATCGCAGCCCAATGCCTGAAGTTGTTGCAAAACACTTTGTTGACAGTCCCGCACCCATGTCCCACCTCAAGGGGTCTTTGAGCCTCTGCTGCGCTGCGTAGCTAGGGTCGATTGCTGCAAGCCTGCCTCCCCATGGTCACGGTCAGTGGTTTCTCGCGGCTCAGTTTATCGAATCCCCATACACGCTGCAAGACCCCACCGATCCACCCGCCACCCTGCATGGTTGACCTTTTGGCACCAGCATCCGCAAGCCCCCCCCCTCCCCACGCCCCATAACGAACCCCAAGGCCCCAAGTTGTGCGGCCCAGTGCCACATTCCCGATCCGCCACGTCCCCAATGGCGGCGTCGAAGATACCCCGGTGCGCCGTGCGCTTTGCCCGGTAAGGAAACACCGGTAGGTAGCAAAGCAGGAGGAAACGCCTTGTTGGAAGGCATGCCCGCATGTCCAGGGCCAAACAGACAAACTCTGGGAAAAGCCTCAGGAAGTGAGAAGCGAGAACGCGCAAAGGGTGCAATAGGCTATAGCTCGTCTATTGACACAATGGGAAGAGTTAGGTCCGCGCCCGGATTGTGGGCTCTGAGCATGCTCGCAATAAAGCCCAGGATTATGGGCTCTGAGCATGCTCGGAAATAAAGTGGCGAGATTTCGGCTTTTAATAGTATGCACAAATAGGCTTAATATATGGCTATATAGTATGGCCCAGATTTAACGCGTTGCTGCACTCCCGGTGAAAGGTCGCGGGACACACCCTGAACCTGGGCTCTGAGCATGCTCGGAATTAAATAACAAGATTCCCATTTTTAATAGCATGGACAAATAGGCTTAATATATGGCTATATATTATGGCCCAGATTTAACGCGTTGCTGCACTCCCGGTGGAAGGTCGCGGGACACACCCTGAACCTGGGCTCTGAGCATGCTCGGAAATAAATAACAAGATTCCCGCTTTTAATAGCATGGACAAATAGGCTTAATATATGGCTATATATGACGGCCCAGATTTAACGCGTTGCTGCACTCCCAGCAGGCAGCTATGTCGACTGGGCTCGTTGTTCCTAGTGGGGCCCGGGTTGTCAAATGCCCCTCGCGATTGCTGCATAGTATAACCCCTACGTTTACCTATCCAGTGCGGTGGTTGTATGCCTGGTAATGCGTGCCTTGAGCATGGAGCCCTGATCATGGGCTCTGAGCATGCTCCGAGCATGCTCAGAGCCCACATACTGGGCTCGTTGTTCCTAGTGGGGCCCGGGTTGTCAAATGCCCCTCGCGATTGCTGCATAGTATAACCCCTACGTTAACCTATCCAGTGCGGTGGTTGTATGCCTGGAAATGCGTGCCTTGAGCATGGAGCCCTGATCATGGGCTCTGAGCATGCTCCGAGCATGCTCAGAGCCCAGAATCTGGGCCGAAATCGCGAGCATGCTCAGAGCCCATAATCCCGGGCTTTAATGCGAGCATGCTCAGAGCCCACAATCCGGGCGAGGACCTTACTGAATGGGAATTGACTCCTGCAGTGGCAGGAGTTGTGGGGCCCGGTAACCGCCCGGCTAGCAGCACACGCACACAATCCGACTCGCGGCCAGCTTTTTGTTAGCACATCCATGCACTAGTAAGCAGCATAGGAGCTAGAGTAGTTGGGTAGACTTGACCCGCAAGCTACGAGCAATGAGCACCCCCATGAACGATGGCAGCACTTGCATAGCCAAGAGGATAGTGCAAGAGTCCACATACACCCTCTTAGACAATAATGGATGGCTTGCTGTGCTGAGATGCGCCGCACCGAAAACACCGAAAATGCCAACACAGGGCCGTGAAAAACGTGTTCCTATTCCAAGCAAGCTTGTGTAATCAACCGATGTCAACTTCCAACGAATGCCCCCCCACCGTTCAACAAACATGCGCCATGCTTCGCAACTGGTAAAAAGCGTCTTCCGCGGGACACCGCCGCAACAACAGCAGTTTGTCGTAGCTACATTCACAGTCCTGCCCATCATCCTATAGGCGCCGGTAGGTACACGGCTCCAGAGCCGGCTCAAGCACGATTCACATCCCCAACCCATAGCTAGCTATTGTGGTATGAATACATCCAACACGAGCATCATGCCGCAACCAAACGGCCGTCCACCGCAGAACTGCATCGCCGTCATGTAAACAGCGGTAATAAAGCGGTCGTGCGCTCAGACGACACGACCCCACATGTAAGAATAGGAGTGCGTTTGCAGGCGCTTCTGCATGCACATGCGAGGAACCTCCCGGGCTGCGGGCTCCCATCCATCCATGAATTTCACACCTTCATCACCTCCCCCCTTCCTGCCGACTCCAACCGCCCTCCTCAACCCGCCACCTGCTAACCTCCCCCTCATCCTCCTCGTCCCTCCTTCCCGCATCTCACCAGCCGGGCCGGTGCTGCTGACTGAACGACAGCAGCGCCCGCGCCACATCACCCACAGAGGGCTCAGCATCCATCTCCTCCGCCGCGTGGAGGAGGTGCTGCTGCTGCTGCTGCGATGACAGCTGCCTTTGCAGGTGACCCCCGCCGCGACCGCCGCCGCGCGCGGAGCCCTTCCCACCCGCTCCGCCACCCGCACCACCACCTTCCATCGCATCCATGCCCCCCGACGCCGATCCCCGGCCGCCAGCAGTCGGCAACAGCGGCGGCGGCATCTCTCCCTCCATCCGCTCAAACCGCTGCTCCCTCCGAGACCGAGCCGCACCCCGATGGCTGGGCAGGGGCGCACCCTCTCGGGCGGCAGCACCCCGCAGATCTCGATAAGGATCTCGATCCGCGCCCTCTCGCAGGTAGGTACTGCCCCGACGCCTAGAAGACGGAGGCGGTGGGGAGTCCGTGACGTCAGCGCCGGCCGGGGCGAGGTCCTCGGGGTAGTCACATCGGTCCTCATCATCATCATAGTCCTCCTGATCATCATCGTGAGGATGAGGATGATGCCAGGGAGCTGCGCCGCCGCCTGCGGATGCTGCTGCATTCGCTGCCGGGTTGGGCAGCAGGCCCCCGCCGCCGAACAGTAGCGACTGAGCCATGGCGGCTTGGAGGGAGAGGGGGTGTCCCGGGTGGCCTGGGGGAGGCAGCCCCGCCCATGCGTCCGGGAGCAGCGGGGGAAAGCCCGGGTGGTCCTGGGTGGGGGGCTCGGGTCGTGCGCGCTTGGTGCCTGCAGCGGCGCGAGAGCTGCCGGTGGGGCGGCGGGGAGGCTCCGGGCGCTCAAAGGCCGCGGGGTCGTCGCGTGGGAGGTTGTGGGGGCGGTGCGGAGGTAGGGCGGACTTGGTGCCGGTGTCGGAGCTGGAAGGACCTGGGGAAGGTGCGGGTTGGGGAAGGGAATAAGGAGGGTGGAAAGAAAGCAGGAAAGAGGTAGCGTGTGAGGCTACTGCTGAGAGGAGAGAGCTTTCTAACTCTCTCAACAAAAGGCTGGGCGCTGTCTTTGTTGTTCCCTGCCAAGCCCTGCGCCAGCCCCACACAAGCACCGCAAGTCCGCAACCCTGAGCTGCTGTCCCCGACCACTCCTACCCGACGCCAGGCCATCCTCCGGCCACGACGCCCTCGGATCCCAGTTCCTGTCCAGCGGCGCCTGCAGCAGACTCGCCAGCCCCGCCAGGCCCTTCGTCTGCGCCACCTGCCAGATCGCCGCCGCCTCCTGCGCCGCCTGCTCCGTAATGAGCTTCTCCATCTTGACGCGCGCCAGGTAGATGCTCAACTGCTCCAGGCTCTCAAAGCTGGTGGGCAGGCCCGCGGGGAGCCCCGAAGCCAGGGAGCCCAGGCTGAGCGGCGCAGAGGGACCGCCCCCGACCGAGCTGGCGGAGATCAGGGCGGCAGCCAGAGGTCCCAGCGAGCCCACATGGCCTAGAGGTACGGCAAGCATCTTCTGGTGGACTGCGGCGGCAGCCTGGGCGGCGGCAGCTTGCGCGGCTGCGGTGGCCGCGGCGGCGGCGGCTTCAACGGGCGCATGCATGGCGCGAGTGAGGGAGTGCGGGCCGTTGCGGGGGCCGGGGCGCCCGGAGCCTGGCCGCTGCTGTGGGGGGTCGAGCTGCGGAAGGACACAATTGCGGCGAGTCGTCAAGTTAGTGAACTTGACGGGTATGAGTAGGGAGAGCGAGTTGTCCTATAGTAGTGCACTAGTGCTACAGGACAGGACAGGACGAGACACAGGTGGGATACCTGGGTATATGATTGGCATGATGGAGCCGCCTATAAACGGCAATACCGACACCGCATCCTTCCTCCCTCTCCCCCACGCTTACCTCGTTGTGCGCGGTTGCACCCCAGTTGACGCCCGGTGCAAGCTCAGCCAGCTGCTTCTCAAG